AATAACAATAACACATAGATTAATATTATATAATTACAATATATGAATGCTTATATTTTAACAATACTTACAGAAATGAACTAATTTTGGAATCTTCAAGTTGGGGTTTCTAGTAGATATAACTGGAATAAAAGCACCTGCCATTTAATGTGATATTAAATGTTATTAATTAATAATAATGTTATAATTAATATCAAGAGAAATTAATAATTAGTTATTTATTTTTACCCAATGAACTTGTTGCAAGTATTATAAAAAATGAAGCAATATGAAGACCTAGATTATATTCTTCAGCTATATAACCACTATCACCGCAAGAAACAGAACCTTCATCTGTTGTGGTTGCGTTTTGATCTGGATTGGGGTTGGTGTCGTTTACACCTAAAGGTATTAATATTAATATTATTATTCGGCAAAAGTTTTGAAAAAATAATAAATATATATTATCTTATATATAAATGTATCAATGATGTATACCTGGGGTTTGAGCATATGTAAAAGTAAGGAATGCATAAAATACAAGTAACAAAATATTAGGACGAGACATATTCATAAAATAAAAATAAAATAAAATTTGTTCTTATAATTGATAAATATGAAAAGTAAAGAAAAATTAAAATAATATTTTAAATGTGAAAAAAAAATGAAAAATTAAAATAATATTTTAAATGTGAAAAAAAAATGAAATGGCTAACTAATGAGGTACCCATTTATCTATTATTAACACAAAATAATAAATAACCATTGGTACTCAAAACATAGTAATTATTTATTGTTTATTTTAAAATTGTATACAGTATTTATTACTTTTGATGTACTTATTTTATAGATGGATGAACTTTTTTATTTTAAAATATGTAAAAAATAACTAGGAAGGTACATACAATGACTGATTTCAAATAATGATCAATGAGGTGCATATCTCTCGTTTTACAATGTAATAACTAAACATATTAATTCGTGCTCTGTGAGACAACTGCAAAATTTTGCCGATCATTAGTATAATTTTGTGGCGATAATAAACAATAATTTTTAGAATTTTTGGAGTATAGGGACATTCAGTATGGTATAACTCTTGCAAAACGTATGGTATGGTATTGTATAAGTGTAATAAAATGGTT